CTTAACGGCCTGCTCCCAGTTGGCTTGTTAGCTCAATTGGTAGAGCGCTGCACTAGTATCGTAGAGGTCAGCGGTTCGAGTCCCGTACAGGCCTGATTTTTTTCAGGTCTGATTTTCGCTATTGCTTAAATAGCGCTATCTACTGCGAGGATCGTTCACCGTATGTATCTAATACCGCAGTTCAAAATTGTATGAACTTCATATATTTCATTGTATCTAATGTTGATCAATGTTGATCAATGTTACCCGCCCTCCTGAGATGTGGTGGTCTCAAGTTAGCGCTTTTGATACAGGAGTTTCAATTACCTTTTCCATAAGCGGTTGCCGATGGTGTTATGGGCGGGGGTGCACGGAAAAGAGGCCGTACGGCCTGTTTTTCCTAGGGGTCCAGGGGCATGCTGCCTCAGGAAAAAAAAAAAAAAAAAGAAATCAAGAAGCTTGGAAGTGCAATTTTCAGCATTCTGGGAATCAAAGAGAGTGTTCTTTTCAAAATAATATTTATTGACACCTCTGTTTGCTTGACGTTCTCAACCAATGAGAATGCAGCGCTCGTCGATAAACGCAGAAAATTCGAAAATCAATGGCTTGTGGGGAGGCTCTCTTTTCAAGACCCCTCTACCGGCTCGTAACTCACTCATGTTAAAGTGCACGCGAGACGCAAGCACGCGAGCCTGCTTGTAGGCTAAAAGGACGGTGGTGGCAAGAGGTCTTGTCGGCGGCAATCGGCTTTTATTGAAATTCCTGTTCAGATACAAGCTCGAAAGGTTCAACTGGAGATAACTGTGTTGTTTTCCTTGCTTGAAGCACTCAGTTTTTCCTGTTTCAAGTTTCTCTTTGCCGCTGACCGAGTAGCTTCATCTTTCTTTATTTTTGGAGAAGATTTCAGGATTAAAACACTTTTATCATTTGGGCAATGTTTCACTCAACCCTTTCACGGTTAACAAATTCGTCAATTCGTTCCTCCAATTTCCTGTTCTTTCTTTCTTTCTCTGCAGGAAAAATATGAGAAAGGGCTACATGGAACTGTATGACCTAAACAGAGATCTAATTAACGGGTACAAGATCAGATGTAACAATCACACAGAGCTTCTTTCCTGTCTTAAACTAGTCAACCAGGCCATTCAGCGCGCTGGAAAGCTTAGAGGTAACGGATTAACTCAGTACATTCACCCACTCACTCTCAGGAATGATCTTTTGTTTCATTCTCCTTGCAATTTTTAAGACACTGTTCTGGAGTTAGGTTATGAGAGCTTAGCAAACTTGTCAATCAGGCCATTTAACGCTCTGGAAAGCTTAGAGGTAACGGATTAACTCAGTGCATTCACCCACTCACCCTCAGGAATGATCATCTGTTCCATTCTCCTGACAATTATAAGACACTGTTCTGGAGTAAGGTAATGAGAATTCAGCAAAGTATCTCAGAAGTTCTTTTGTGATATCTCTCAAATTCTCCTTAGGAACCCTAAGAAAATGTGTAATCATTAGTTAGGGAGTTAACTTTGAATTCGTGGGAATGAAAGGATGAAACGAACTGCATTAAGATATTTTGCTCAGTTGCTGGAGAAAAGAAAGAGCTTGGCACCTTAATGAGCTCTCCCCCATTTTCTCTCTTATAAACTGCCCCCTAAAACAAGTCCTTTCTTAATTAGCTGATGTCTCCAGAAAACCCCTCTCTCATAAGCCCCTCCATAGTAAGTCCCTTTCATAGACGAGTCCTCTATCTGGATGACCTACATTGATTGTAGGTATTGATGAGCCCGGCGTGGTCCTATTTTGATGGTTTCAATTTATCTAGCGGAGTGCTGAACAGCCTGTAGCGATGCTTTACCGTCATCTAATCTCTTATTTTCTCCTGCAGTGGGAAAAGCTAAATCTCAAGTTATTGCTGGCTGCCGACAAGCGATCAAGAACAACAATGTCAACGGCTTGTTCAAGATAATCAAAGCTGGTTCCCTATGAAGTCTCACCATCGCAGTCCCTAAAGCATGTATTAAGCTTTAAATGCCTGCTATTCTTGTGAATTTGGAATCTGGCATCTGGCTGTGGTGTAGGCAATCGATAGTCCACGAGAACTCTTTGCATGTGGGTTGTTTGAGTTCAGTGCGTGTTTTCAGTATTAATCAGAACCGTCCTTGACGTTGCTTTAAAAAAAATTAACGATTAGATTCAACTTTTGCCTTTGTCGAGGGTTGTTTAAAAGGTGGTCGTGGTAAAAGAACGTCTTTACTCTGCTTTAATAATTTGGTCCTTAAATTATGTTAGATGGCCTTTTTTTTAAAAAAAAACCTTATTTATTAAGAAGTGTAAAAAGAAGCATGCTCACTCGTACGAGGGTTTGGCGGGATTGGAGGAAGTGAAGGCTTCTGTTTACGTACTTCTTGCCAAGCGTCAGGACTGAGTTGTTCATTTTTGATAATGACATTCGGCAAAGGCTGGAAATAAACTTTATTGAGAACTTTTAAGCAATAATTAGGATCAAAGCGCGCTTGTGTGTGTGTGAGCGATAAGACTGAAAATAAGTAATTAATACAATATCTAAGTACAAGATATAACAGCAACAAGAACAGCGACACAAAACTAAATTAAATAGAAATGCAACTAGGTCCGGTTGTAAACCGCTTTAAAAAAAAGGAAACAAGGCGTTAGCAAAAACTAAACGAAACGACTGACTTAATTGAATTCGACTATCAATGAAAATTGTCTCACTAAAAAAACGCGTATACTGGTGCTAATATCAATATTTTTTTGTTTGAATTTTTTTACTGCCCGGTAAGAAACATAAAGCAATAAACGTTCGTGACCTTCTGCTTTTGTGCACGTATAAGAGCTTCGAGATGTTTGTTGTGAACTCAGATGTTGGGTTGCACTTTGGCCTCTTACAACGGTGGCCTACAATTGTCACATCAAATTAAAGTCATTCACATCAAATTAAAGTCATTCACATCAAATTAAAATCACTCACATCAAAATAAAGTTACATTAAATTGAAATCACTCACATCAAACACAAATCGCTCACATCAAATACAAATCGTTACATCAATTGGTCAGCGGCTAAGTCAATGAATGCTATCCCCAATGTTTACTCGTTGTTCCACTTTACCGTCATTTTGTACGATCCGTTTTGTACGATCGTTCTTTGACTGCGAATTCTGCAGAACCTGTGGCAAAGGTAAGAGAAATGTTGCACATGTTCTACATATATATTATGGACGATCGGTGAGATCCAGTGTTGCCCACTTCGGCTCAACATCGACTTGCACGTGTGAAGCTAAGTGGGATTTTGGGAAGAGAACGATCGTACAAAATGGCGGTAAAGTGGAAGACCGAGTAAACATTGGGGATAGCATTCATTGACTTAGCCGCTGACCAAATGATGTAACGATTTGTATTTGATGTGAGCGATTTGAATTTGAAGTGGGCGATTTGAATTTGATGTGAACGATTTGTATTTGATGTGAGTGATTTCAATTTCATGTGAGTAACTTTAATTTGATGTGAGTGATCTTAATGATAGGGTCTAAAAGTACTTACGAGTGAGATTAAATCGAAATATCTCAGTTTTGTTACTATGACGTCATTACGGAATCATTTTACGCTTAATTTCGTGAAATAATCACTTACGAAAACTGAAGTTATTCACTGTATAAATGTATAGCGGACGATTTGAAAAACATGAGAAACAGATGCGATAATATTTAACAACTTGCAGTGTGGACTATACATTACAGATAGCACAGTTACGATAGGTTAAAAACAAAAACGATTTTAAGAATAGTCATAAATATCACATGATCATTTTATTTGGCTCTATTTTAACAACCCAATGATCAACCCCTCACTTTGGAAAATCCCACTCAACTTTCAAATGTACTGCCGACGAGAGGTCTGGACAAGTACTTCATTGGGTTTTGCGTCGTAAACTCACTACTCCTAGCGTCAAAATAATAGTCCGGCTATTTTCTCAGCTCATATATCGCTTGAGTCGTGAAAGATTCGTATGATTATATGTTTACCGTGACAACTTTTTATAACACCTAACCTCTCCGTATGATTCCAAAAATAGTATACAACAATAACCGTGGGAACTAGGCAGCTAGACACCATGGGGGGCAATTTGGGCGTTTCCGCGCGCTTTAGAATGGGTTTGCGTGTTTCTTGTCAAGTTCGGTAATGGCTGACTTATAAACAAGACGCGTAAAGACTTCACGCGCTCTGAAGTTGTATTTTTGTTACGGTCGAGTAGAGGAGGAGTAGATGACAGCGGCGGAACGTTGGTTGCGTTGTGTCTCAAAGGAAATATTCAAATCAAACGCTTAGCGTGATTTCAAAAAGTTAAATAACACGGTGATATAATATACATTTTGCTGTAGTTATGGCTTTTTAAATATATTTTTTTGGAATTTTTTTCAATTATCGGACGTATGCCGCGGAAAATATTAGTCTCCTTTCTAATCATCCTCGGAGACCCAGGGGCTGTGAGTCGATTTCAAGTTAAGGACAAAAGAGCCCCTGGGGGCATTGTCTTACAAGAATAGTTCCAAACGGTCGCACTCGTTCTGGCATCTGATTGGTGCCAGAAAATCTTTGTGGTTTTCTGCCCAATCAGAGTGAAGTATCCTTTGGAGTCCTTTCGTGTGTTTTAAAACGCACATATACAACAAGCTCTGTTGCTCGCTATGTTTGTTTGGGCCGTGCGACGAAGCTTTGCCCGAGGTGAAAAGTTTCAGTCTCAGCACACAATGTAAGAGAAATCGATCAGATTGTCCGCGAAATCTTACCGGAAATTATACTGAATACTTTCGCAGGTATCACAAGAGAACGTGTTTAAAAGTTTGCGAGGTTCGTATAAAACATAATGGTTGCAAGCATTGATATGTCGCTTTAAACGTTAGATGAGATGTAAGCCTAAATCTTTCAAGATTTTTGTACAATTTGTTGTGACTGAAACTTTTCCAATCCCGTGAAGTTATCTCGTCGCACGGGCCACGCAGGTATGTCAAGCAACTGGCGCTTACGCTAACGTAACTTTCTGTGCGCGCCAAATTCTAATCGTTGCTTTGTAGTAAAGTCTTTCGCAATATGGCCAAGGTTGCAGAGAACGTTAAGTACGTGGACGACCTCCNGATTAGTTTTGGTTAAGATTTTAATTAGCTAATCGGAAACACAGCTAAGCTTTCTTTAAGCGCTTGCTGGAGGTCGTCCACGTACTTAACGTTCTCTGCAACCTTGGCCATATTGCGAAAGACTTTACTACAAAGCAACGATTAGAATTTGGCGCGCACAGAAAGTTACGTTAGCGTAAGCGCCAGTTGCTTGACATACCTGCGTGGCCCGTGCGACGAGATAACTTCACGGGATTGGAAAAGTTTCAGTCACAACAAATTGTACAAAAATCTTGAAAGATTTAGGCTTACATCTCATCTAACGTTTAAAGCGACATATCAATGCCTGCAACCATCATGTTTTACACGAACCCCGCAAACTTTTTAACACGTTCTCTTGTGATACCTGCGAAAGTATTCAGTATAATTTTCCGGTAAGATTTCGCGGACAATCTGATCGATTTCTCTTACAATGTGTGCTGAGACTGAAACTTTTCACCTCGGGCAAAGCTTCGTCGCACGGCCCAAACAAACATGGCGAGCAACTGAGCTTGTAGTAGATGTGCGTGTTAAAACACACGAAAGGACTCCAAAGAACACTTCACTCTGATTGGGCAGAAAAACACAAAGATTTTCTGGCACCAATCAGATGCCAGAACGAGTGCGACCGTTTGGAACTAGTCTTGTAAGACAATGTCCCCAGGGGCTCTTTTGCCCTTAACTTGAAATCGACTCACAGCCCCTGGGTCTCCGAGGATGCTTTCTAATACGTATTTGATGAAATGATGTGAATTTGACTGCCTAATGACGTCATAGTAACAAAACTGAGATATTTTGATTTAATCTCACTCGTGGTCGCTCGTGGTCACTCGTAAGTACTTTTAGACCCTATCTGATCTTAATTTGATGTGTGATTTTAATTTGATGTGAGTGATTTTAATTTGATGTGAGTGACTTTAATTTGATGTGAGTGACTTTAATTTAATGTGACAGTTGTAGGCCAGAGTATCTTCCTATTTTCCGGTCTTATTCTTATTAGAAGTTATTCCAACAAAATTGACAAAAAATTCCATCTTGGAATCGAAAACCATTACACGCCGACCGTGAACTTCTCTTCACTACGCCTCGTACTACCCACCAGACTTAACTATGGTTTCATGAAAGAAAAAAAGCAAACAAAAAAAACTGCACGGTCTACGCGCTCTGCATGGTCTGCAGTCTGCGTCTAACGTGACCGGGTCAGTCGTGGTCGCTTATGGTGACTTGCGTCGTCACCCGTGGGATCACTCGCGCGGTCATTCACGCGGACACTCGTGAGGTCATTCGTACTCACTCCGAGATGAGCCACTTTTAGATACGACCCATGATGGGAACAACGCCAAATCAAAATGGAGAAACCAATGGAAGATGTAAACCTTCATCATCTCTTATCGACGAGGGAGTCGACATATCTGTCGCAGGTTTGAAGGTTGGTCAGAGATCGCACTTCGTGCAAGACTTGTCGGTGATAAAGGCGAAGTTTTCGAGTCGCACGCTCACACCTGATCGTTGATAAACATGGCCAGGTTGATGTTGGCCGTGACCCGTCCGTGGGTGTATCTTACAGCAGAGTTTCAGTCTTGGGACTGTTATGGAGCATGAAGCGAGCACCAGAGCAGAGAAAAGGATTGCGATTGATGAAATCTGATGTAACTGAACCTTACGGTGTCGTCTTGAACTGTTTTGATGGCCATTTAAATCGGCAGGAATTAAGCTCCTCGCAGCCTTTGTGAAGCAAAACGTTCGAGAGGTGGTACATGGAGGACGGAGAGGAGAGAATTCCTGTGAAAGAAGGAAGCATTCGTGGAACTCTTTTTCTTCCTCCAGGCAACGGACCCTTTCATGGTAAGTGACACGAGTTTGACTAGCTAGTGTATTTATCAAGGTTGCTGACATTATCATTAAGGTCGTCCAATATATACCGTGATCTGTAAAGTTACGGACATATTTCAATTAAGCTAAAGCCTGAGATAGGCTACTTTTTCACTCGAACTCTATAAGATTTTTTGCATGGAGCATACTCATACCTCGACCAAGATAAAGTCGTAGCTGTAATAGCGTACTCTTTCGTTATATAAATCAGTTAACATCACGTAACCCAAGGAAAACTTTTACGTTCAATAATCAAACAATAGGGAGATGACAAAACGCGGAGCCCTACTCCATGGTAGTACCCTATGGAGTACCTTAATGGAGTACCCCCAAAAGTCATGTATTGGTCAAAAAAGATATTTTATGAACATGGTGAATCGTTTAGATGTACATATCCTAAAATATATTGAGCTTACCAGCTCTCCGAATGTCTCAGTTTGATACAATCCAGTTAATTATAGGACATATGACTAGGGTCTCAGTCTTATTCGTTCGTCCATTTTGGTTTTACCGCTGTGTAATGAGTCCATTGACGAGAAGACAAACAACTCCATGTGATGAACAAAACCCACTGTTTCGACTTCTGCACGAGGTGAAATATTTAAGCTTACTGTATTTCCCAGATCAACAACCCCAGTCGGATTTATTTGCCGACCCGTCACTGTTTGTTTTTTGTTTTTTTTGGTTTGTTTACATACCTCAGTTTTATTGCGCTACAAATAGGTGGGTGAGGAGAAGCTCTGTTTAAAGATATGGATTACCTTTTTATGTCTCAACCTACAAAGGCAAG